GGATAGGTGTGGGAAAATATGCACATGGTCAGCTACATGTTTAGGTGACACCTGTGGGAATTCTGCAAAAAATTGAGGAAATTCTCATTGGTTTCTGCACACTTCTCCCCGAACTCGTATGTAAACTCCTATAGTTAGTGAGGAAACTCTTGAGCTCAGCTAAGGAAAGCGAACATATATTCCACTGGCCTGGATTCGATCCTCGGGGGGAGTCTTTCAACTAAGTATACAACTGATATCTTTTGGCGAACAAATTTCGATTTCGGGGAAACAATGGAACCCATATCAGTTTTGGCCGGCGAATTATCGAGGTATTAGTCATGTTTCCACCCCACACCTATGGAACACACTTTGTTGAGATATTTCATGATGCATGCCTCGGACCAGTGTTGGAATATATGTTCTCTTTCTTGTGCTGAGCTCAGGAGTTTTCTCACTAGTTATAGGAGTTTATGTACGGATTGGGTTAGAAGTTTGCAGAAACCAGCAGAATTCTTTTTAAATTTTCTCGGAGTCTTCATATTGCCACCAACGCATGTGGTTGACCGAATACAAATTTTATCACACTTTCCCGAACTGTATTCTACTCGAATTCTCTCAGATGGGACAAGGTGATCCAAACTCTCGCTACCGTACAACTTCCTAAGGACCTCCTCCAAGACATATATGAGCAAGTGAGTGCTCTTGCGATTTCCACGATATTATGGCATGTGTCTGTGGTCAGGCGTTCTTAGAGTGTTTGGGTGCTGGTGAGAAGCAGTTGTGCGCCCTACTACTGAAACATAGCGCTCCCATGCAGAGTATGAAGGGCGATAGTCAGAAGAACTTAACGTATAGAAAATTGGATTCGTTGTTGAACAAGGTGAGCAAACAGATGACATATGCCCTGCTGGACGCTGTGTCGCAATACTCAATGACGATTGCGTCGTGTTTAAGTTGGTTTATTGCTCAGCCGTATATACCGGTGGATAGCGAGTTGTATCAAGGTGAAGAGAAGCCGGAAATTAGACGGAAAAAACTAAGTGAGCCGAGCCATTTGGTTCGACACATTTGTGAACTATTATGTGTATCATGATTACGTGAGTTCTCGCGCATGTGTGTTGCTTCATAATTTTGCCGTTTGTGAAGTGGAGAACTAGAGGTAGTACTTGTCAGTTGATTCTTATCAAAATACTTGTCCGAGAATGCACATAACTGTTCCTTATTATTATTTTCGGAAATGTTGGGCTCACTTTTTCTAACAGGTGAGAGAGTTCGTCCATTCGTACGAGCAGCCGATGGACAACGATTATTAACATTGTTGAATCAGGCTTTGAAATACCAGCAGAACGCTAACCTCCTGCCACCTGGTGAGCTCCTCGGGCACGGGTAGCATCTGGGGAAGATAAAGTGTCCAAATATCTTCTGGTTTATGGTATATACCACTCGATTCGTCACACTAAGGAGAGTCGGAAAATTTGTGAGATAGGGTTTTTTACCCCATATATATACATTTTTATGTCATATATAGATTACACGCGCAAAGTGAAGATCGCGCGCGCCCAGGTATGATCTAAACATTTCCAAATAGTAGTCCTACAGATCGTAGGGTGTTTGGAGAGCAGCATTTATCGGAGCAGATGACTTCCAGACCCACACAAGATACATAACCGTAAGAAAAACGAACTCAGCTGACGCGAAATCACGGTACACCAACCTCCAAACAACTAGTACAGTCCACCTAGCCTGAAAATGTAGGTGTTGCAAACACGGCGCCCAGAGTCTAGCTCACACCGTACATTACATACACCTTTCAACACATGACCACCTTGTCGATCCCTCCAGAGGTAGCCGCAACTGTGGACGACTACCACCTTTCCAAACTGTACTGTGTCTGCCGTTTTTGCTTTACAAGGGTGAGACTCGAGCGCCGTCAAACCAAAAAGCCTGGCCCAACTGAGCAGCTGTGCCAACGCACCTTGAAGTATTATGGCATCGACTTCAAGCGAGAGATAGTCAATCTTCGACTTCCCAAAGTCCTCTGCGGGCCGTGCAGTTGCCGACTAAGCGACTTCGAACGAGGCAAGGTCAAGTATGAGAAGTGGTCAGAGGAGAAGCTGCACTACTACGACAGTCTAGCAAGAGATTGCGAGTTTGTCACTACCCGAACTTCAACAGTATGTTCTCGAGATAACCGGTGCAAGGTGTGTTCCATTGCCAGTCGGTTCATACCCAACGCTACTCTGCGCTTGCAGTCGAACACTCCGAAACCCGGGAGGCCGACGAAGCACTCTCCGGTTAGGAAGATCTGTTCACGTTGTGGGGTCGCAGAAGATGAGCACGATGACAAGCATTGTAAGATGGCTCTCAAACGCCCCTGTGCTGCAGGCAAGATATTTGCCGCCCGTACAAAAGCACGGGGGTATGTGGATCGACTAGTAGCTGAGCGGCTGGGAGAGAGGTTCGAGGAGGCCTTCCATCAAGATGGGGGCTCGCAACCCTCAGTTCTCCCTACTGGCGTGGCACTCTTTGACACGCGGTTGCTGTATTCTCGATTAAAGAATCACGTTGAATATTATGAACGAATTTTCGTAATAGAATATTAGTGCCGATGAGTGCTCAAGAGTGAAGACTGTAATAGTCTTTTTTCATCATTGTTATTATTTTAAGTGGCTCGGAAAGATAATGCATTTCATTTCAGGAGAGAAGATTGATATCTTTCGAGGAACAACAGCACCGAAATCGGGCAATGTGGAAGGTAGTCGACTGCGGTCAACATGCTGCAAGTTCGGTTCATAAATGCACTATTCCGTTAGTGCAAGACTATGCCGTTGCTGAGGAGCCTCCAACTCACACGTCGAAGATCCTCAAGTTTGGCAAGGGCGCTCATCCAGAGTCTGT